CAAGATTTTGTTTTTATGGCTAAATAATGATCCATTGCATATATACCAGATCTTCTTCATCCATTCATCTATTGCTTCCGTAGTGTGGCTCTTGTAAATGGTGCTGCAAATATGGTAGGCTGTCTTTCAGTTTTGTGGATTGTTTCCTTTGCTGTGCAGAAGCTTTGTATTTTGATGTGGCCCCAACAGCTCCCTATGGCAAGAGAAACAAACGCAAAGTAATTGTTTTATATTCACGACCGTAGCCTTAACTGTGTGATCAGTAGACAAAAAGAAGAGCCACAGCCTCCCAACCCTCCCCGCCCCACCCCCCCCACCCCCAATAAATGGGCCCAGAAGCTCCAGACCCCTAAAGCCCCTTAGGGCTGGGTTGTCAGAGGACAGAGAAGGGGCAGCCAGCACAAGGGCTCTGGCAAGTCCTTCAAATCCCGTGCTTAGAGCTGTTCTTTCAGCCCCTCTGTGGACCAGCACAGCCTTTCTGTCCCTGGTAGGCAGGAGCATTCTAGAAACAGAGCCTTGACCAGGGGTCTGGGGAGTCCCGCGGAGCAGGTGCTCCTGCCATAGGGGCTGAGGGGAGTGGCTGGCGCCCCACTAGGTCATGGGGGCGTTTCTTAACCTGGGGGGTCCATCACTGCCTTCAGAGCCTCTACCTCCACGTTCTGCTTATTTCAAGGAGTCCTAAAAAGGAAATGGGAGGAGGCATGGCGACCCTGGCAGGCTGGGGTAGGAGTTGACCCCTTAAGGGAGCCACATGCCCCTTGCTCCCTGCTCTCCCGGTGCTGAGGGCAGCAGTTCCGCCGCGGACCCCGGGGGTCTGTCCTGGTCGGAGCCGGGGGCCGTGCTCCCTAAGCCCCTTTGCCTTCTGGCCCCCAGGCCCAGCCCTGGAACCTAAGGCTTCACTCGCAGCTCCTCCCCAGCCGCACCCCCACCCCCGCTTCCTGCTGCACCCTCGCCGCCTGGAGAGCAGCCCCGAGAACCTGCAGCCGCCCCGAGAGCCGCCCGCCCGCCCCCCAGAGCCGCCTGCGCCCCGAGAGCCGCGGGGAGAGCCGCCCGCTCCCCACCGCCCAGAGCTACCTGCGCCCTGAGAGCAGCCTGGGGAGCCGCCGTCCAGCACGGAGCCCGCAGCGCTGCGCCTGGTAAGGGGAACCCGGTGCGGGTCCCAGCATCTCT